TTAAATATTAGTATTTATAAATTATATATATTAATAAAATAATAGTAATAAGATAATTATTAAAAATTATTACAATTGTTTAAGCCTATAAAGTTACTATATTACTATCTAATTTTAAATGTTAGCTATCTTCAGAAATTAAATATCCTTGAATATGTATATTACAAGATGGAAGGTTCTCATAAATTCTTTTTTTAATAAAATTTAATTCATTAATTGTATTTGATTTAGTTTTAAGTATCTACATAAATAAATAAATAAATAAAATAATTATAATATATTTTAATAAATATAATATAAATAACTTATATAAATTTTTTTATTCACTCTATTAAATTCACTACTTTCTTGATAAATACATAGTTGAATATTTTTTTTGTACTTTACTTCTAATATAAATGCATTAATAGCTCTATTAGCTTTTAAATTATAATGATCTGCTTGGAATTTATTTGAAATTTGATAATAAATATAGCCTAATTTGATTTTTTTCTAATGTTTAGAAAGTTTACATGATAAAATTTCTTCTTTAATATTTCTGAAGTATTTTATATTCTTAAGATTATATGAAATTGCCAATATTTTATCTAATTTTTTGTGAGATCTTTCAAATCAGTTATAGCATACTAATGTTATAAATACTAAAATTAAATATTAGTGTTAGTAGTAATTAATTTTAAAATATAATATATTATATATTATATCTTACTTATAATACATTCTTTATTACTAATATCTAATTCAGGTTCTTTAATATCAGTAATTTTTGGCTCTATCGTTATAGTAGTAGTAGTAGAGAACTTCTAGAATTTGGCTCTTTTGCACTAATAATTTCTGATAAAATCGTTGCTACTTCAGATAAGTCAGTTGAATCTGAATTATTTGTTGTAGATAAACAATTTAAAGAATTTTGAATTGTTTTTTTTTTTTTTTTTTTTTTATTATTATTATTATTATTATTATTATAATGCCATAGTAGAAACTTTATTACAAAGAAGAACAGATGTTCAAAATTTAAAGATTTCTAACTATATTTGTATTATATAAAACTGAATCATCAGTTATTTTAAGACTACCCAATATGACATTACACCCTCTATTCTCTATTGTATACTATATTTAATTATTTTAAATTAGTTTTTAGCTAGGAAAGGTTGGAGAAAACTTAAGGTGTTAAACATGATATTATAATGTACAAGTTGTTAGAGAGAAGCCTTGTAAAAACTATTTTTTAATTTCAGATATAGAGTTTGTTGTTGGAGTAGATATTGTATTTGTGTTTGGTTTGTTAGAGAGTGTAGGATATGTGAGCTTTATATATTTAGTTTTTGCTGTAATATTTTGGTCAAGTTCTTATTTGTGTTGATATAGATTCTATTGAGACTATATATCATTATATAGCTAATTGAGTAAGTTGTTTGCTATATTGGTAAAGAGAGTATCTGTTTGTTTTTGAACTAAATTTTTGAAATTAGTATAAGTTGTTATTGAGAAAGTACCAGTTATAGCATAAAGAATATGTTGGTATTGTAGATTTGAGGAGTTTAGTGTAAAGTTTAGAAGAATATTAAGGAGTATTTGAGTAGAAATTGTTGTTATTTTAAGTGTGGTTAATATGTTATTAATTGTATTAATTAATGTTTGTTGAATATTTGGATTATTTTTGATGTATAGAAGAATATGAATAGTATTTTCAGTAGTTGGGTATTGTATATAGTTAG